TCCTATGCACGGGACTGACAATGGCTCCCGAAACACTGTATCGGTATGTCGATATAGTTTACATTATATTACATATTGATATATCTGTATATATTGATTATAAATGCTACTTTAGAATCGACTGGTATTTTCCACAGACCATGCCGCATAGAAAATCTTTATAAATAGTAACCAGGAATCGTGAAATGGCGATCCATGGTTTTTTTCGCAAAAATGGTCTTTCGCATTCACTTTTCATTCTTTTGTCAATTAGATAAAAATTTTCGGTAGGAATTTTGAATTATTTGTCAGCAAAATTTACGTTATCATGTATGATTGTTTATTAAAGTCATTCATCATTCTATTTGTTCTTTAGCAAACTCTATTGACTCCAGTGAATTCTCCCACCTCTAATGGCAAGGGATGTGCCAGAAGATTCATTACCTTGTCGTTTGGAAACCATGTAAACACATTCCTCCCTTGCATCTAAGGCCATTTTAGCGGTACCTATTTCGTTTTTGTTGTTTGGTCCAGAACATAGGTAAACTCTTTTATACGCCCAAAAATAAATATCTCATGACATTACATAATCCAACTTGTTCTTTTTAATTTATACTTTATAGGGCCAAGCAAATGTAATGTATCACGTGATACATAACAAACAGTGAGTATTGCATTTAAATATATTGCGAAAGATATCTCTTGCATGATTAATACTCATTCTTGTTTTTCTGATCAATCAATTAAAAAAGCGATCGATCGTTCAACCTTCTTTTTTTTTTAAACAAAAAAAAAAAGAATTTTTTAAATCTTTCATCTACAGAATAATTAAGCTTAGTGCACTTTAACGTTTCTTTATCGTTTTTTTTTTATTTAACTTTTTTTCGATTTTTTTATTTTTTTTTCCTTATGATCTCGGGTATTTATTTTTTCTTTTTTTTAAAAACGTTGACAAACTGTATTAGTCAGTTGTAACTCGTAGTTACACTGATACTCTTATATGCCACACTTTTACCTTCATACGCAGAGAGACAATTGTTTATTGTTTTCGTTTTTTCCTTCGATTCCAACAAGAATAAAATATGTAAACCAGCGATTGGTTACTTTACCTTTCGTTTTGGGCGTAATCTTTTCTTATCTGAATATAATGATCTAAATATAATGATCTAAATAGAATGATCCAAAGACAATTAATACTGATTGGGTTTTATTGTCCCGAAATGCCACTATTCTCATACTGATCACTCATGACTTTCTCAACGGAGAATTTATAACAAATTACATAACAGTGACAGGATTTTCAAGTTTATTCTTCGCTATTTACCGACTCAGCCTAACCTAAGACATATACGTAATTAGATTATTTAATTCATGTCGCTGAACAGGGCTGAATCCGGTAAATGGCAAATAATAAACTTGAAAATTCGAATTATGGTTTCCCTTAACGCCATCCAAAGAATCTCTTATGCTATTACTCTATAATCAATTGATTAATAATACATATATTTTATTATTAATGGTGTCACCTATAGTCCAAGAAATCCAATTATTTTTATTGATAAAATTAATTTTTTAAATTACTATATAAATGAATTTGGATTACTTGATCTCCAAATCATTCACCTGTAAACGTTGATCATATATCATGGGAAATTCGTTTCATTTCCCCTTTCCAGAATTTTCACGACCTACTCTAATCAGATCTTTAATTTTACTACCCAGTATTTTCAGATTAATTGATTCCCTACATAGATAGGTATAGTTAATGGTGAAGGCGAATTGTCGTTAATTACGATGGCTAAATCGGTTTTAATTCAAAGTGTATTTGAGTCGTAATTAATCATGTAATTACGCCTAAACCATCAGGAATATGGAATCTTTTTTTCAAACCTTTTTTGAAATCAACCATAAAAAGGTGAGATCACTATATCATGGGAAATTCACAATATTTTCTTGATTTCGAGTTCAATCTCCGCTTCAATCGGATCTTTAATCTGTCCTTCGATTTTATTTACAAATTCCAATTTCAAAAAAATAATTTCTCTGATTTTTCGTCACATTTGATTCTCAAGCCATAATATCCGTTTATATACTAGACGTTGGTTGACAAGAAGCTTAGTCATGTCACAAAAAAAGTGTCGGCGCCGTGACCTCCTGTCCATGCGGACCTTAATTCATACTTATGAACAAACTCCTTATTCTTTAATACACTGATTAATATTAAATATATATTTTTAATGATTAAGTATCCGGTATTAATAGGCATTGGGATATTAAATATGTAAATACGTACGTACGTAGTAAGTCGCTGATTTTACGCGATCTAACTTAAGAATCAGGGTGCAACATCTATTTTTTTTGTGATATAGTTAAGCTTCGTTTAGTTGACTAAGCAACAATAATTTTCAAATTTTACGGATTAGCAAAATTAAAAAGTGTTTAAATATTGAATTTATCAGGCTGTTATTAGTTTCAATAAAAACATAGTTGATTATTTTTTAAACTATATGAGTTATCGTTAATCAAAGCGTACCTTATTAAAATTAAAATAATAATTAATTGTACCGTAAGTGTTATTGATCTATATATTTTGACCATTGAAAACATGTTACAATCAATACGTATTATGTAACTATTTTTTTAATCTCACTATAGTATATTTTGATTAATGTCATCTTATACGTATAGTATACAAATCTGTATATTAAAATTTTTAAAATTTGTTTTGGTATTTTTATTACAAATTTTTAATTTTTATTAAATTTTTTCTTTTAACAGTCACGTTTTATTTAGCACATTTGATCTATAAAATAAAAACTTATTCAAACTCAGAAATAATCTGCTTAAGCATTTATTTTACTTTAACCTAAGATCTCTAACTTATTAAAGATTTTGTTCTTTTAATTATTAATTAACAAATATATATTTGTCTTGTTAAGATTTTTATTTTGTAATAGAATATTACTAATTTAATATTTGTTTTTTTTTTGTAAAAAAGAAATATATAGTTTTAAAATCTTTGTATATTTTAACTATAATATACTCTTTAGATTAAAATTTTTTTTTGTATTATTTTATTTAATTGATTAGTCTATATATTTATTATATTTTTTTATTTACTACATTACAATAAGTATATATTCAAAAAAAAAAAGCAAACCAATCAGGTTACAAAATTTTGTATAATAAAATAAGAAAAATTAAAAAATTATTAATATTACAAAATTTTATTATAAAAATTAGTTTTAGTTATTAAATAAAAATTGTTAACATTTAATTTGTATAGAAATAAACTATATTTTAATTTAATCTAGTTAATATTTTAACTTTAATATTTAAAAAATAATTTAGATAAGAGTGTAACAACTTAGTAAAGTAGATAAGTTGTTAACTTTTTAAATGATAATTGGATGTTCAAATTCTATTAATAGCAAAAAATTGGATAATTACTTATATAATACTTATATTATGGCAATTGTTTCTAACAATTAAATTAAGATATCTGTAATCTATCTATTAAAATTGTTTAACTCTCATGTCAGTGATGTTTAGAGTATTCCACATAAAAAAAATTGCATTTGTGTAATGATCTTCTTAAAATCAGATAGTTACTTAGTCTAGAAATACTTAACATTACATAAACATCTTTTTTTTGCTATTATAAGCTTATTTTAGAAATAGAGATTGTTTTACAAATATTTTTTTGGCTATTATAGACAAGTTTATAGATACACCTAACCCTTTCATGTTACATAATTATATTTTTATATTACATATATTTGAATGCAATAGAACTTTTTTATTTCAATATAAAAAAAATAAATAAAAGCAGACATTTTTTCATATTTTAGTTTTTTTGATTAGTTTTTTATATTCTGAATTCTAGATATTTAATAGATGCTTGAAATATAATTACTTGACAAATTGTTATTTTTATTTTTGTATTATCATGTTATTTTTTTCTGTTTATAATATATCTATAAAAATCAGATTATTATTATAATTGAAACTCCTAATAAATGTCATAAAAGGCTTCATCGTGAACATCAACAATATTCTGTAATCAGCAAATCCTAACTACTGAATCTGAACAAAACCAACATTTGGAGCATAATAATAATAATATGAGAGTTGAATTATTATCTAATCTTGATGATATTAAACACTCTGGTTCTTTAAAAAAAAGAATATATATATCTAATAATACTGCTAATATATTAACCTCTTCCTCTTTAAGTTCTTTTATTAGCATTATTGAAAATAGACCAATTCCTTCTCTTAATCTGCCTTTTTTGTACAAATATTAAAAGCATAAGTCTGTTTACTTAAATTAACTAGACATAATCTGGGAAATATGAATCAAAGATATCATTACTATAGAGCTTTGTTATAAATAGATGAAAGAAAAGTAAGCACTTCTATGCACTCTCTAATTTTTACTATTTGCTATACTAAAGGCAAAATTGTTTTTCCTTCTTTTCAGAACCTGTCTTCTTTTTTATATTTCTTCTTATAGAATCAGATTCTTCTGTGTGTTCATTTAGACAAAATATCAGGTTGTATAATTCCATACTAGTTTTTACATCAATGAATACAAAAATTGATCCTAATATAACAAGAACTGTTAGCATTTATAGTTTTCATATTTATAATAAAATGTATCATAGTATAGGCACTATTCTTCCTAATAATAGAGCTGCTCCACAATTTGCTTAGCTATATATTTATGATACTAAACATGAACTACAAAATAGAATAAATATAATGCCTGGTCTTGACCCTTTTATTCTTACAAATCTTTAACAAATGCTAGATGAATTAAATCTGTATTGTAAAATTTTTAAACAGGCCAAGAATATACTAAACTCAAATTAAGCTCTAGATTTAAACTTTTAATTACAAACAATTGAACAAGAGATTCCAAACATTATAATACATCTAATGCATCTGAAGTTGCTGCTATTATGATTGAAGATAGATAAGAAGTTGGACTATTCAGTGTAATATAGTTCTACATTTACATGATAGTAGTTTACAAAGAATTTCTGAATTACACTGTGTATATCAACCTTTATACTATATTCTTATATTTCCAATAGGTGAAGATGGTTAGTATCTATATATTCCTATCAATCATAGTTTACCTACATCTTCTATATATCACTCTGATAATAATAAAGATATTAGAAATAACAATAAAGAGGACGTTGTAGTCAATAATACAGAAGAGGCTGTAGCTGATACTACAGAGAAAATAAGTAATAAAAAATATGTAATTGCTATGAATTATTTTGTGTATCATCTTCATCTTGGCCACCCAGGTAAAGCAATAGTTTTACACCTATTTGGATAGCTTTTTCAACAATAGATAGTTGATATATATGCAAGTACAGAACAAATATATCTCAACTATCTAAGATTTAATCAAAAAAAGTTATGCTTTGAACTATATAGTGGTCTTCAAGATGCTCTTAATATTGGAGATAACATCTCTAGATTAGCAAATGTAGAACAATATATAATTTTGTCTTTGTCTTTTACTGAAGGCCCTCATTATATATAACAGATATTTCAAGATGTTATGACTATTGTAAAATCATTAAAGAAACCTGATCTTTTTATAACAATGACATATAATCCACAATGGCCTGAAATTACTAATAAGCTTCATTCAAGTTAAACAGCACAAAATTGTTCAGATTTGATTTCTCAAGTCTTTAATATAAAACTTAAAGTATTACTTAAAGATATATTAAAGCAAACCATTTTTGGAAAAGTCTTAGCCTACCTTTATACTATTAAATTTCAGAATCATGAACTACTTCATACATATATTCTTATTCTTGCACAAGAGCATAAATCTAGAACTATTGACAATATTGACTCTATTATATTAGCAAAAATTCCTAACAAAAATAGTAATCCTCTTATATTTGAAACTATTTGCCAATCTATGCTTCATGGTCCTTGTGATGCCTTTATGCCAAGCTCTCTATATATGAAAAATAGAACATGTTCTAAAAAATATCCAAAACACTTCTAAAAGAATACTATAATAAATTGTAATAATTATCTTATATATAGACATAGAAATGATGAACATACTATTGAAGTTTGTAGAGCATTATTAAACAACTATTAGGTAGTATCATATAATCTATATCTTTTAACTAGATTTAATTGTCATATAAACATTGAGATTTGTTTATCAATTACTGCTATAAAGTATTTTTTTAAATATATTTATAAAGGCCATAATTGTGCTACTGTAGAAATATGAAGGCATTACTATGAACATACCCTTAGAAAGAATAATGATAAAATAAGTTTTTATTTTGATACTCAATATGTTTCTGCTTTAGAAGCTTCTTGGCATCTGTTTTATTTTCACTTATATAATAGAAATCCATTTATTATACCACTACAAATTCATCTTTCTGGATATCATAAATTAATTTTTATAGATGAAAATAGTTTAAAATATATTCTTGAAATGCTGATAATAAAAAATTAATCCTTACTGCCTAGTTCAAAGCTAATTTACAATATTCAAAAGCAAGACAAGTTATATATAGAACCTTTCCAACTAAATGAGTTTATTATAAATGAACTAATAAATAGACATTAAAAAAATGTAAAAAAGCACTAGGTTGAATGTATTTTGTTTTCCTTTAGCAAAGGAATGTTATTATTTAAGACTACTTCTTAATATAGTTTGTAGAGTTACCTCTTTTATAAATCTCTGCATTATGAATAGTATCTTATATCCTATCTTTAAAGATGCTTGCATTGCTTTAGGTTACTAGATAATGATGCCAAATGAGACCAATGTTTATTTGAAGTGTTTCAAATTCGATCTGGACCATAACTTTACTATTTGTTTATGACTATTTTACATTTTTGTAATCCAGTAATGCCTAAAAGACTATGAGAGAAGTATTTTATTTTTTTAACTAAAAATATTCACTATTAAAATTCGACTACTAATAAAAGTTTTCTTACTAATACTAACTAATCAAATGAAGCTTTGTTACATTTACAGTTAATTTTGAACAAACATAGCAAATGTCTTAAAGATTTTCCTAATATGCCTTTACCAACTAATACTTTTTTTACTAATTTACTAATTACTAAAGAGCTAAATTATAATATCCATGATCTTACTACTATTGTAGAAACTGGACTTTCTTAATTAAATAAAGATTAGTTAAAAATTTACAATAAAGTTATAGCAGCTATTGAAAATCAACTTTCTGCTTTTTATTTTATTGATGGTCCAGAAGGAACAGGAAAAACTTTTTTATATAAATAAGTCATATTTTTTATTTCTTTATACTATTTATATAATTTCTCTCTTATTTAACATTTTATATATATATATAGTATTCTACTTGCAAAAGTTTGGTTATATAAATATATTGCTCTTACTATTGCTTCATTGGGAATTACTTTACTTCTTTTACCAGGCAGCCATACTGCTCATTTTCAATTCAAAATCTCTATTAATTTGTATGAAGAATCAATCTGTTCAATTTTTCATAGCTCTGATCTTGCTTTATTTTTATAAATCTCTTTTCTTATTATATAAAATAAAGCTTCAATGGCATATAAACACTTATTTAAAACTTTAGATCATACTTTAAAAGATTTCATAAAAGCCATTGATCCTATATTAGAAGATAAACTATTTAAAGACAAAGTCATAGTATTTGAAAGAGACTTCTGTCAAATTCTTCCTGTTATTATACAAGGTGATAAGAAGATATAGTAGAATCTTGTTTATGCCATTCATATTTGTAAAGACATATCAAAGTTTTAACTTTATTTATTAATATGCATCTTCTTTTTGCTACTAATCATACTAATTCTATTGAACAAAATGATTTTTCTAGATAGCTTATTAAACTTGGTGAAGGCCATTTTTCTATTGTAGAACTAGAAAAAGATACTATTCAACTTCCTACTGATATCATTTCACAATCTCAAGAATTAAACACCCTTATATGTTTTATATATTCTGATTTTTCTTCAGATTTAGATTCTCATTATTTAGTTAATCTGCCATATTTACTTTTAAAAATAACTATATTAATACTATTAATACTATAATCATGTTTCAATTTCCTGAAAATTCTACTTAATATCTTAGTGCAGATACAATATAAGAACAGACAGAAGCTGAACACCTATATTCTGTAGAGTTTCTTAACTCTTTATTGATTGAAGGCCTTCCTCTTTATAAGCTAATTTTGAAACTAGGAGCCTTGATTATATTGTTGCACATCATTAATCCTTCTAATAGCCTTTGTAATGGAACTAGATTAATATGTCAAACTTTTCAGAAGCATGTTATTTAAGCTGAAATTATGACTAACTATTATTCTGGAATTCATGTTTTCCTTTTTCACATTATAATGTCTTCTTCAAATACATAATTGCCTTTTACATTTAAACATCAACAATTTCTAATACAATCTGCTTTTGCTCTAACCATTAATAAATCACAAGAACAAACTTTATCTTCTGTTGGTTTATATCTCCTAACCTCAGTTTTTTCTCATAGTCAATTATACATTACCTGCTCCAGAGTTACTTTTTGCAAATATTAAAAGTTCTTATTACTAACTCTACTAACAAAATTACTAATTCTATTTTTATTACTTCTAATATTGTTTATCTAGAAGTTTTTCAATAAAATTTTTTCTTTTAAAATAGCTCATATTTTTCTACTATTAACTTATCTAATATCTAGTTGTTTTAGTAAGTAATCTATCTATTATATTTCTTCTTTCTCTTATTTTATTACTACACTTTATAATTTTACTCTTATTAACTTCTATATTCTCTATCTATATACCATCTTCCAAGTACACATTAATAAATATCTACTCTCACCAATGTAAGTATTTACCTATTATTAATTTAATATTTATTTATTATATTCATCCTATCATTCTATACTTTAAATTTTTCTTTCAAAAAACCTCTATATTGTATCTATTTAATCAAATACTTTAATAAATAAAAACTAATTATATATATATTAATAATAAAATTGTAAATCCTTAATATACTTTATAAAATTTCTTATTTTAATGCACTTCCTAAATTTTTACATATAACTTATCACTCTACTTAATACTATTATTGTCATTTATTATTTACTGTATATAATTGTTAAAAATAACTATATATTTTATAAATCATCTATTATTTTTTATAACTGATTACAAATAATTACATTTAAAATTTGACATAATGAAATTCTCATAATCTAATACTTTCACTTTAAAAAATTCAAATCTTGTTACTCAAATTTATATATTCAATCAACTTTTATAATGCAAAAATTTTTCGATATTTCAATATATATGCTATCTAAAACTTTGTTACCTTCACTTTTACTTACTTAAACATGCTGCTTACTTTAACTATAATCATTAATTTTTTATCTTTACTATAAAATTACACTACCAACTAAATATATTTTGATTTCACTCATTTCATATTATCAATGCATAACTATTAAATCACTACAACTCATATTTTACCCAATTATTCTATCACTACTAATTATTTAATTTGCTTTTAGATTATTATAATACTTTTATATTTAGCTAATCAATTTATATATAAAATTTAATTAATCTATATTTTCTATTTTTTATCCGCAAGTAAAACAAGTTATAACTAGCAATTTTTAACTTATATAACAATACTATCAATACAAATATTAATATAACAACAGAAACTAAAATTTAAGTAGAAACAGAATATTCTTTGTGCTAGCAATAAGCAACAATATTAGCTCTAAAAATTATTATCTAACTAGTATTACTTAGTATGTAGACTACTATTTTATTAGTAAATTTTGATAAGCTTATTAATTCCAGCCTATTTCGACTCTATTGCGAACTTAAGAACAATTTTGACTAATATTAATTTTAGAACAGTAGACTATACAATCAAAGATTTTTAGCAATTTACAAGAAGTTATATTATATCAGTATAATATAAGCTTAAATTAAAAGCCTATCAGCAATAACCAATAACCATAATACTAATATATATAACATCTCTATTCTTAATCATTAATAGAACATATATTATCACTAAACTACTAGCTGCTAATATGTTTTATTTAATTTTCATTGTATTTATATTATGTATTGTATAAATGTTATGAGCCAAATTAATTTTTAGATTAAGTTAAACTTAACTCAAATCAAATTAAACTTAACTTATGTCAAATTAATTAATTAAAAACCCTTGCCTATTATCTAATTCTTAAATTCAATTAGGGTTTATTTTTGACCTGAATTATATTAAACTTATTCTAAAAACCAATTTGATCTAGAAAATATATAATTAATTATAAATTATAAATTGAAAAAAAATTTAAACTAGAGATGGGGTCCTGTAGCCTAATGATCTAGGTGTCTCTTCCTCTACAGACAAGGTCAATAGTTCAATTTCAGCTGGAGGCAAAACTCTGTAATTTATGGAAGCATATAAATATATGCAAAGCTCTGTGGCTTAAGTCTATGTGAATAGAAGATCGGTATATAAAAAAGTTTCTGAAAAGAAGTTTCCTAATATGGAGAGTTGGCGCTCGATGCAAGAGAAGTGGTGAACATACCAGAAATAGAAAGAAGGTGCACTAGCAGGTGATATGGTGAACATAAAAAGAAAACTATAGGAAAGAAATGGACTTACTGAAATTCGAACACCTCTGGTATTAAAACTGATTTAGTAGATATGAGTTACACTAAGTCAGATCTAAGTGGTAATCTTGGTACCAGCTTAGTAAGCTTGCATCAAGAGTAAATTCGAAAGAATATGGATACTTAGTAACATTCAATGAGGTAGTACTTTAATATAAATAGAAACTAAGATAGCTTTAATCCAAATATTACTACAACAATAATATAAGTATTGCAGATATATATATAATAGTATTAAAAATTAAAAGTTTAAATAGAGACTCACAGGTGGGTCTCAGGTATGGTATCTAGTGGGTAACCTGTAGATGAAACCCTTTTAGATAATGACTAAAGTTATATGTGTGACTAGTTGTACTTTCGTTAATGTATTATGTATATTACATGTAATCATATATTACTTAATAAACGACATACAAACAAGATTGCCACTTCAAATTAAAAAAAAAAAAAAAAATTTAAACCAAAAGTGAAATGACAGATAATATCTAGTAATAATTATATTAATATAACTAAAAATCATGAAACATCTGTATAACTAGTTATTTAAAGAAATATAAACCAAGATCAGACAGTACAAACTTTAGATAAGCCCTTATAGCTATGTAAATTCATTAAAATTAAAAAACAAGAAGTTTATTTAGAAAAATCTGAATAGAGAAATAATATGAATTTTTAATAATGTTATTATAAAAGCTAAACTACTAAAAATAAATACTAATGTTAAAGTATCTAAATAGGCAAAAACTTTTAGATAAAAGGTATTATCAACTAGGCTGTTATAATAAACTAGAGAAAAATAATATTGAGCCAATTAGATATACTAATGAACTATTATAGTTCTATATTGGCTATTTTAATTAAAAGTCTAAAAGACAGACAGAAGTATACCAAAGTATTAAAGATTTGCTATAAAATAAATGTTAGGTTCATTTAAAATAAACTAAAAAAAAAGAATATTAAGTTAATCCAATATATTGATAAACTGGTTGTTGTCTTATATAAGCTATCTGAATTGAAAGTTTGAAGAACAGACAGAAGTATACTAAAGTACTAGTGATATAATATAAAATAAATGCTAAGGTTTAAATAAACTTTACAATAGCATATTAGTTTAATGATTAGCTCTAATTATAAGTATTAAACCTATTATAACAATACTAGATTAGTTATAAAAATAGATACAAAAGGCTCTAAAAGATTTATCTCAAGAATAAAATAGTTTTAAGATTAAAATAATAATATAAATATAACCCAGTAATATTAATATAGGTTGCAGATTTAGAGCAATTAAAATTAAACACTTAAGCAGTAGTGTTAGATACAGAAATTAGTAAGAAACTTTTTAGATAAATTCTTTAAATAGGTAATATAAAAAAGTTATATATATAGCTAATTGTATATTCTCCTTATAGTAGTTTATAAAATTATATTATTAAAAAAATTATTGATAAAAATCAAAAGATTAAAGATGTTATTTTAAAAAAAATTTATATATATATTTTTTTCTTTAATAGCCTTGTTATAAACCTTTATTAAGATTTTTGTAAATTGTTTTATAAACATTTTAACTTAAATTTTCTAATTTAACATTCTTTAGCTGCTTCTATAAGTGTCTAGAGACAGTTTTCTATACTAGTTAAAAGTATTTTCTAACTAGAAGCTATACCAAACTAGTCAAAAAGGCTATATACAAATGGTTTTAACTTATTATAAATTAAACTTATTACTAAACTAAGCTATAACTCATGTATTTTTTTTCAATTTTTTTTTTTCTTGTCTTTAATATAACTTGGTTTTTTTCTATTCTAGTTAAGTTCTTTTTACAATTGTCTTTGTTTTTTATCATTATTAAATTTTTTTGCTTTTTTTTTTTTTAGCCTTGTATTAATTTTTGTCTCTTTTTCCTATAACACAAAATCTTTTTTTTTTTGTTAAAGATCATACTTTGTAGTAATACTTTATTAACTTTTATTAGGTTAGTTATTATAACTATTATTACAAAGATGAGAGTATACTAGTCATATATGCAACTTTTAGTTGCCTATTTAAGTAGTTTATTCTAAGGTTCTACATTAGATGCTGTACCTATAACCTACTAGAAGATTATTTATTTAAACTCTCTGATTATCTGCTCTATCATGATGAATCTCAACTAACCCCCTGTATATACCTAACCAGTATATTATCTGAGCAGTATGGTACCTACTCTTTTTGTACTAGTTTCTAAACTGTTACATATTTCAAAGTACATCATCTGCCAGTAAGACACAAGGGGTCTCTCATTGTTAACTGTCTACCCATTTTTAGAACACTAACAAGAGCTACCCTTACAGAGTTTACCTAGACTCTAGCACTGACTTCATAGCATATCTCTAGTACTTTTAG